CATATAACAGCAAAGGCTTTTCCACATCTCATTCTATCTCTCTAACTCTTCTTGCTAGCAAGGGATGTTAAAGAATCAACTGAATCCAATCCAATCAGAATAGAAGCTGAACGGGACTTTGGAAGTCTTCTAGTCCAGCCCCCTGCTCAAGCAGGACACCTTCTACCATTTCAGAGAAGTGACTTTCCAGTCTCTTCTTAAAAGCTCCAGTGACATAGCACCCACAACCTCTGATTGCAAGTCGTTCAACTAGTTAAATTTTTTCACTGTTAAGAAGTTTCTCCTTAATTCTAGTTTGCTTCTCTCCTTGATTAGTTTCCATCCATTGTTTCTTGTTCTGCCCTCTGATGCTTTGGAAAGTAGGTTGACCCCCACCTCCTCTTAGTGACAACCTCTTAAAATCTGAAATACTGCTATCATGTACCCCCTAGGCCTTATTTTCTCTAGAGTAGCCAAACTCAAATCCTGCAGCCATTCTTCATATGTTTTAGTCTCCAGGCCTTTAATAGTCCTGTTGCTTTTCTTCTTCACACTTTTTCCAAAGTTTCAGCATGTTTTTGTAATATGGTGACAAAAATGGGATGTAGTATTCCAGGTGTGGCCTTACTAATGCTTTATAAAGCGGCATTAATATGTTAATACTAATACATTACTTTGATTCTGTGCCTCTGTTTATGCAACCAAGGATTGTATTAGCTTTTTGGATGCTGCAGCACACTGCTGGCTCATAATTTGGTGGCTTCATTTATTTGCCATGGGAGCATAAGCTCAGTTTACAGTTAAACTTAAGACTTATTGCACTAACATGCTTGCCTCTGCTCATGTTTTGAAATATACCGAATGTTTTGCCCAAATAAATACTATCAGCTTTGGGTACCGTGGAAAAGAGGATTTTTCCAGCACATTAAGCGCTATAGTTTGGAAATCAGTTTGTATCAAAGGGACAAGGTTATTTTTAAGTATGTGCAAAGTGTATCGAATAAGGGCAGGCTAACTTTTCTGAATGTATCAACTAAATGTTGATTCCTTGCACTTTTTATATATATAAAAATAAAAATCGCCGCCTCAAACGGGTTGGGGGCGGAAAATAAACGAAAAGGGCCTCCTCCCCGCTCTCCAAGCATGCGCATTAGTGAAAGCAGTATCAGGCAAGAAAGTGGCGGAAGGATACGCGACGCCGCTGCGATGAGACGTGGAGGCTAGAGGGATATATATACGGAGGCTCCACCCCGCTGTGACTCATTCTGCTCTTGTCACAAATTTAGGATTCAAGATTTAGAGCGCCGGCGAGGCACGCGAAATCGAGGACATGGCTTTCTAGGGCTGCGTGGATCCCGGAGGAAAACGAGCGTGTGTTGCAGGCTGCAACAGAATCGGCAACATGGAGTAAGTAATGCGTTGGGATGCTGTCTTTTCCCATTCATCTTCTCCCGACTACCACTCTACGGAAAGGGGGGGGGGGTCCCTTACGATGGGAGAAGGACCCAGGGGTGCGGTGGGCTTGGGGATAACTAGGGTCGTGTATAAGGTGCCTAAAGTCCCTGTCCTACTGTCCCCATTTATTTGTACCCATTTCTTGTGTTCTTATTCATGTTTATTCTTATTCCTGTTATATTGTACATGAGCGGCAAACTAAATAAAATAAATAAAACTGAAGGAAAAGTAATGAAGCGGGGGTGACGCGTTCAAGGATGTTGGGATTTTCCAAATGTCTAAATAGATGTAGAGTAGCAGTCCTAGTTTCCTCTCTTCCCTACCCCCCCCTCCGTTTCCTAGCATGCTAAAACCTGTTTGTCTGCCCGCCCCTCTTTCCATCGGGGAGTAGAGTAAGACTTTCTGCTCTCCAGGGAAGAAAGCAGATGCGGCTTGCGTAACCCCACTGAGAAAAGCCGGGCGGCGAGCGGAGCCTTTGTGTGACCGCAGCTCTGTCACTGCTCCTTCCCCTGTTTCCCGCAAACATGCGTGTCTGCACCTGCACCTGCCCTCGAGGTGGTCTTCAGAGGTCTTGGATCAAACTTCCAAAAAACTTATGCTGGCTGAGGATTATGGGAGTTGAAGTCCAACGGTGGGGGGAGGTTCCAACTGTTAGCAAAAGAGGAATTTGTACTATGGTGCTTCTACTGCGAGAAAAGTTCATTGTCCCTATTGCATGTTCTCCTTGGTATTTTGAAGAGCCGAACACCCCCCTTAATTTTCATCAATTTGGCTAATACTCTTGCAGGGCCAAGTTGTAATTATATAATTACTAGTTGTAATTAACCTACCACATATCGTCCTTGACTTACAACTATTCATTTAGTGATTGTTCACTTACAGTGGCACTGAAAAAAGTGACTTATGAGTCTCACACTTATGATCGCTGCAGCATCTCCAAGGTCATATGATCAAATGTCTGGCACCTGGTGTATATTTATGATGGTTGCAATGTCCTGGGGTCCTGTGATTCACACCTATGACCTTCCTAGCTGACCTCTAGCAAAAGCCTGTCCCTTAACGACCATGTAATTCACTTAATTGCAATGTTTCACTTCACTGTGGCAAAAAGATCATAAAATGGGATGTGACTCTTAACAACTGCCTTGCTTAGCAACAGAAATTCTGGGCCCAATTGTGGTTGTAAATCAAGGACTACCTGTATAGGGTATGGTCCCAGCCTAGTTATGTATCCATTATTGGCCTGCCAGCAGAGGCTTGATCTACAAATATTTTCACGGAAGTTGATTGTACCACTGAACAAAGTGCTAAGATTTTTACTACAGGTAAAACAAATTCTAGTCTGTTCAAAAATAGAAAGAAATCTTGGCTAATGATTTCATTGAGAAAATAAGATTCATTTCTATTGTTTTCCAGGTCCCCTTTGGCCACCACCACTACCACCATTATCCTTGCCTGCAGGAGCAGAGCCACATCTTGCCTGCTGCGTACAAATCCTGCACTGAACCTGAGTGATCACCAATACAATGTCTCTGCTGGCAGCACTGACCCTGGACCTGGACATGACCATGATCCCAGCTAGCGCCATGTCTTGCAGGCCGGAGCTGCTCAAGCACCGGCTGCCCCATGCCGGTCACAGTGAGCTGCTACCCGGACCTGTGGATCAGGGCTTTGCCCTCGGCATGGAGCGGCCAGTGCTAACAGGTGACCAGTTTGAGTGATAGTAGAACAAACTTTAGGATTTGAGAACATTTACATATATAAGAAACAAGGAATATCCACTTTAGGGACATAAGATTACTACTAGTTTGCCAGCTATTTTAATACAATTGAGTGCTAACATTCTGAAAGGCTCCTCTTAGCGTTGGGATGATAGTAAAGACTTAAAGAAAAATCCATTTAGGTATCTGAGTCTAATCTGCATAGTCAGTTGTCATCTTTTTTTCAATCTGGAACCAAGGGCAAAGGTAAGCATTCAGATGATCAGGAAAGAATTAGCATCTTCTTGAATCTTTTTTTAATCTAAGGAAGATATAAATTTTTGAAGCACAAATTTGATAGTTAAGCAAGGAAAGGGTAGAGCTTTTAATAGTCTTTCAATATTCCTTCCCTTAGTTTCTTTCCCCATCATCACCACTACTTTGGCTTTTGTTTACCCATATTATAATTTGGTTGTTCCTGTACTAATTCAGATAACCTATTTCTCTAAAATATTCCATACATAACTGCAACAAGCTTTATTCTGAAACACATGTTTACTTTCTAGCTTGTCTTGTTAAGTTGTGGCTTTGTCCCATTTTGCTTTTGCTACACCATAGGCGATGGCTTCTCAGACTGGATGACGGAACGCACAGACCTGGCCACGCTCCTGAGTGTGTCAGGGGAGTCCTCGCCAATCTCACTGCCCTCTCCTCCTGCTCCGGACCTGGAGGCCATGGCCTCCCTGCTCAAAAAAGAATTGGAGCAGATGGAGGATTATTTCTTGGAGGAAACTCTCTCACCTGATCAGGTAGCACCCAGCACCCCTCCCTCTGATGGGAATTTTCACTTTCCTTTTGGTGATGGCTTCCATTCACTGGACCACCACCACAGTACACCTGCACCCTTGCAAACCTTGGATTCAAGTTGCTTAGAATTGTTGGAGCTCTATGGTGGGGAAATGCCTGCTGAGCTCCCCCTGCAGGGCAATGAAATATGTGCCTCAGTTCAGCAATCACTTGTGCTAACGCCTAAAGGGGATCGACGCCAGAAGAAGAGAGATCAGAACAAGACGGCAGCCCTGCGGTACCGTCAGCGTAAACGAGCTGAACATGAAGCATTGGGGGATGAGTGCCAGGCCTTGGAGGCACGCAATCGCGAGCTGCGAGAGAAAGCAGAATCTATTGAAAGAGAGATCCAGTATGTCAAAGACCTGCTCATTGAAGTGTACAAGGCACGCAGTCAGCGCTTGCGAACCTCCCCCTAGAAGCCCTCTATCCTCATGAAAGGAAAAGTTTGAGGGGAGGCTATGGAACAGCGTATGTAGGCGAGAACAGAACAAGCATGTTAGATATTTAGTTTGGGAAATGTTGGCACATTAGCTTGCATTATCCTTTGGGGTAGGATAGTAATGCAAAACAGGCAGAGTTATAGAGATAAGGAATGGTGGAGGAAGGAGAATGAATTTAGTTTGAAAGAAATTGGTACTGCTGTGGTAGGAAAGAGCTAAGATTAGCCAGTTTGTTGCCATTACCGGGATTATCAGGGAAGGCTGTATTGGGATGGTGTCCTTTTCCCCCACCCCTCCTCTCAACCTGGACAATAGTCCTGAAGCTGTGTATTAGCTTTTTGTTTTGTATGTACTTTATCGAATTTAAGCTACCTGTACCTAACTATGCACTAATAAACACATATTAAACACTTGCTCTGAGTCAAGACTTATAGATGTCCCAGAAAGATGTATTACAACATAAACAGGAGTTTTAAAATATCAAGGTTGGCTTATACACTTTCACCAACTTAAATTTCATATCTGATCACAGAAAATTTCATTCAGCTGGGATACAAACCACTCAGAAACAAAAAGCTGTAATCAGTGTTGCCATTTTATTCTCTACCCCAAACTTAATACAAATCACTTATGTTCAGTACTATGACTTCATGCCAAAAAACCCCTTCAATTAGATAAACTTTATTATTAATAGAAAACATCATCTTTTTCCAGTGACAGTTGATTTTGGATCTGCTGCTGTTTCCGATAAAGTTCAGCCACCTGTATTAAAAGAAAGGTAGCTGAGTATTTGTACATGAGAATTGTAGGATGGTCTCTTGGGGAAACTTTTATTATACTAATTTAACATTTCTTTTCCAACATATAAAAGCAGTTTTTGCAATTCTCAAAATAATCTGAGCATCCCTCTCTTCTTTGTAGCTATGAGAGCAGCCTGAAATGACCTTTTCAGGAGTTTGGGTCATGTTAGTATACATGAGGCATCTATTTTACCATGAACCCCACCGCATTCCAATCACTTCATTTAGAAAATTGAGCAATGTGGGTAATTTGAAGCTCAATCCAAAAGGATAGAAATGTCCACACCCACGCATACCTTGTAGCAAAGCTTTTATTAAAAAAATATGCAGTCCTGGGCTACAAAAATTGCTTAATATGTCTTGTCATGATTACAGGTAATAATGTAAAAGGATATGGATCCAATTTTGCATATACTGCAAATAATTCTTTACTGATTCATTTCCTCTTTATATATAGATATTTTGCCATCTTTACCTCAGCACTGCTAGTCGCCTCCTCTGGTTTCTTATCATCTCGGATGCGCAGGAATCTGGGAAAACGTAAGGAGATGCCCTTTTCTTCATCCACCTGCAAGGAATAATAAATTATCCTTGAAGTTTCATAAAAGCTACTTTCTTAAGGCCTCCTTTGAAGTACTGTTTTCTGGGCAAAGAAGAGAAATGGTTAATTGCTAGTTCTCTTCCCAGTAATGTCTTTTGCTAGCAAAGATGACTTTGGATCTTAATTTGAATCCATCCACAAGACTGCTGGGGGCAACTTTGCTCTCTCTCTCTCACATACACACACACAAAATTACACATATCATGCATCTGGGAAACATCAGAGGAGGACCACACATCAAAAATTAGTTTCCAGTTATCAACTCTGCAGGTGTAGAAACTATTATTATGAACAATCGTTTATATACTGAAGCAACCCTATTCAAATATAAAAGTTTATGTTAAGGCAATGGCTATAATAGTTAATATTTATTGTTTCAACTTTGCTTGCTTATCTGAGGCATAGACTATGATGATGTTATAATATTAAATTAACGTGTAATAGCAGAGAAGTGAGATGATTACGTGAGTTCAAAAATATACTTATAGATCATTTTCAAGGCTTGCATGCTCCTACTATATGATTTGTTAGGAGTAAAACCAGCACTACCAGAATGACTCTTCACTGGTTTCTGAAACAATGAGATCTGAAGTTTCTTAGAAAGGCTCTGGGGTTATGAGTTGTGTGAAGGGCTTAGAATCCACCAGATCTTATCAAATCCTTGGACATGCCTCTAGCATTAATAAAGTTACATTAGGTTAAGAGCATATTCTAAATTTATTTCCCCATTACAGGTGGTCCTTGATTAATGACCATTCATTAGTTGTGATAGAACTAAGTTGTGATAGAACTAAACAAGTGGCACTTATGATTTGTCACGGATGTTCTGGCAATTGCAGTATCTCCAATTGTGATCCCAATCTGCATGCTTGGTACCAACTTGCGATTATGATGCTGGCAATGTACTACAGTCACATGATCACCATTTGTGACCTACAAGGAAAGTCAATAGAGAAACTGGCAGGAGGTTGCAAATCGCAAATACATAACTTCGCTTAATGAGGGTGTGGGATTTGCTTAATGATTTCAATCAGAAAGTGCTGGAATGGCCATTGCTAAGTGACATGGTCACATGATGTCACATTTTATGACTGCCCCACTTAATGCCCAGTCCCCATTGTTAAACATTATTTAGTAGTATTGTTTTATATTTTTCTGTACCTAGTCATTCTGTTGCTGACACAGCATTTCAAAATGTAGTATTTCAAGCTGAACATCAAAAACATAATTATGGTATTTTTAAACATTCAAATGATTAAATAAAATTTAAACTTTTGAGATTACAGCCAGGTCACTCACAGTATAGTTCTGCATTTCCTTCCAGTATAGATTACTGAACAGTTGTTACTTAATATGTGTATGTGTGTGTGTGTGTGTGTGTGTGTGTGTATTACAAGTTAAATGTTTATACCTTATATCAGTGTTTTTCAACCACTGTGCCGTGGCACACTAGTGTGCCGTGACATAGTATAAGGTGTGCCGTGGGAAAAACACTTTATATATAGTCAATATAGGCACAGAGTTAAAAGATTTTAACATTTTCTAATGGTGGTGTGCCTCGTGATTTTTTTTCATGAAAAAAGTGTGCCTTTGCACAAAAAGGTTGAAAAACACTGCCTTATATACTTCTATACAAAACTAAAATAAACTGTTCCAGTGACTAGGGCCTATGCAAGAGCCTAATTAAAAAACCTAAATAATACATGCATGGCATAAAAATAAAATCCTTATACCTATTAAACAGTAACAGACATTTCTAATCTTAAAATGTCATTTTAACAGCTGAAGATGTAGTTTTACACATTTGCCTAAGAAAATGAGTTGAAATTGCTACAGAATGCTAAAGTAATACTGCCAGAACCGTGATCTCAAAATATTTCCTAAGCAGTGACAGCCAATCAACAGTTTATTCACTATTTGGTAAGTACAAATTACATGTAGTCCTTGCTATACACATATGAATCCCTTCCAAGGTCTCACCCATCACTCACCAAACCCGATGCTGCTCTGTGAATGGGAGAAATGGATAAATCAGCACACTTCACTTCCCAAACATGCTGGGATTCCAACCAGTGATCAGGTTCAGCTGTTCCACCCCAACGATAGTATTGTCGTGGCTGTGAAATCACGCAATCCTGTAATGCAGAGACTAGAGTGAGTACTAAGAATCTGTGATTCTTTTAAAAATTGGAAATATTCTACTTCACATTTAAAATGTACTTTTTGACACTTTTGATAGCATTCAGAACTTGAAATATAGCCCAAATCGAATCATTCAGAGCAATTAGTGCACTAGCAATATTGTATAATACTGAGTTCAATGGATAGGTCGGTCATCTTAGACATGTGAATCAGAGAATAAATCAGGAGTAATTGCCCCATCAAATCAAAAGAGTCTGCTTTTTCTTCTTTAGTTCTTCTTAAGAATTTAAACATTAAAAAATGAAGGAATAAAAGATATCAGTAAACCATATTCAAATGAACAGATAAAAGTTCCTACCTTGAGTGAGTTATGGAGTTTCTCTAAGTCCTCATCAGAGAATCCAGTGCCAATCTGAGAAGGGATAAAGTATACTGACAATTAGATACAAATAACCAAATGTCTACCATTAATATTTTAAGGGACAAGGTGAAATGGAAAATATAAAAGCTACCAATTTTACAGATCAGATACTATTTATTGTCTATTTCTTTTGTAGTATTGGTAGCCCCCCCCCCCAAGATAAACTGTCATTATGGCAATCTTGTTTTATAGATTCTAATTAGAACAGGCAGAGCCATTTTGGTCTAGTGGTTAAAAACACTAGGCTAGAAACTAGGACATCATGTGTTCTAATCTCCCCTTAGCCACAAAGCCAGCTGAGTAATTTTGACTCTTGCTCAGCCCTAGGAAAGCAGGCAGTAGCAAATCACTTTTGAAAACATAGAATCGTAGACTTGGAAGGATCTTGGAAGTCTTCCATTATAGCTCCCATAACCACCCTCCATGCAGGAACTTTCAGTCTACTCTGGACAAATGACTGTTCAATTCTTTTCCCTGAAAACCTCCAGTGACTGCTCACTATATGTTGCCAAGGAAACTGCCAAGACTTGTCCATGTGGTTTCCAGGAATCAAGACTGACTCAAACACAATCCTCTTCCCTCCATCAAAATTAAAGTCAGGACACTTGATGCTATTCAATAGGAAAAAAATATAACTTGTAAATCAATGATCAAAATGTCCTAAAAGTGGTATTCTAAACATTCTTACCTTGCAGATGCTCTGGAATTCTTCATTTTCCTCATCATAACATGCAAGAAGGAAACCTCCATATGTGCCTGCCCGTTTGCCCTTGCCCAAGTAGGCACCAATCACCACCAGGTCAAGGGTGTCACCAACACCTTCCAGATAATCTTTTTTAAGCTGGTATGGGAAACATAATAAATAATGGAGTAAGTCATCTGCTGCGCAGGATCTAGACCGATATCTATCTAGACAGATTGTTCTGGTTCTGGAAGGATATATCAAGTAGGAAAGAATAATTTGGAATATAACTTTTATTATTTGCATTCCTTATTCCTGACCATTCTGGCTTCTTTTATTCAAACACAGAAACAAATAAAATACCATCCATCCTTGAACAATAGTATGGGCAATTTGAAGAAACGGGGCAATTCTGCCACAAGTCTGCACAGCTAAGCAATTGCATTACATACTATTTAGAGCTGATCAAGCATTTAGTTCTTACCTTCAGCCAATTGTGTGACCTCTTTGCAATTTCATATGTAGCATCCACTTCCAGTGTTTTTATCATTAACCCTTCACATGAGTCTGAGGAAGGCAAACCATTTTATTATCTTCTACAGCATGTTTTTATTCAGTTTTGCTATTTAAAAGCTTAAAAGTGAAATAAATGATTCACTTGTTATTCTCACAGTTGTACTGATCCTAGGTTATCCATCTCTGAAGAGGGATGGTTCAAAAATGTAAAAAATAAATAAATAAAAAATAAATTAATCCACTGAGGTACAAAATTAAGTAAGATGGTAAACTTCATTCTTCTAAACGTTAAGACTCTGCAATATCTGCTTTCATTTGATGCTCAACGGAAGGTTGAGTTTTATAAACAAAGATACTAAAAGAAACTTGTGTATGAGCTACACAATACCTTTGACAGAGCGTTCCAGGAATTCTGCTATCTCATCAACATTACTAGTATCCATGGAGGTGGCAAAAAGGAACTGGCCTTCAACTTCACTGAAAGAATTATGCAGTAAGGTCCGACGCTGCGACAGAGGCTTCTGGACTAATGACTAAAATACAGATAATTTCACATTTAAGAAAAAGTCACAGAGCAGAGACTTCAAAAGAGTTTAAAAAAAGGTAACTACAAAAACAATTAGAGACACAGAAAAAATAAGAAGCAAGATTACTATAAAGTATCAAGCATTCATTTTTAGCAAAAAAAATTTTTTGTTATACTTACCATTCCATTAAGGTAGAGCATGTCAAATGCATATATACAAACTTGCACTCGGATATCTGCAGCATCCACATCCTAGAGAACAATGGCACCGTAAAGGGATAGGGCGGTTAGATATTTATACCACAGAATATTAATTAAAACATTTCTGGTTTAATTTTATTGCTGACTTTTACATATCCTTAACTAATAGCTGCCAGAAGAAAAATATTTTTCCCTATATGAGATGTCTTATTTTGAAGAATTAGATATTTTTCACCTCTCCTCCCATCATTCAAAAAGTAATCCATTTCCACAATCCATGCAGTTGTGATATGCCCTAAAGCAGGGGTGTCAAACTCAATTTCATTGAGGGCCGCATCAAGATTGTGGTTGACTTTGGGGGGGGGGGGCGGAGTGGGCATGGCCAGTTCCCACTGCTACTTTGCTTGTTCTCCTTGGCCAGGTTGCTCATTGTGTGTGCAGGAGGCCCACTCTATCTTCTTATGAAAAGACCTTTGTAAGAGAGCTTTGTAACCAAAGCATCCTTAATGATAGGATGGGAGACCACCAAGAGCGATCAGGAGGGGACAAGATGATGACAAAAGGCAGCAGGGCTGCTGATGGCCAAGTGCTAAGGCAGGATTTACTTTCAATGTCTCTCATTATAAACTTCCTTCCCTCCTTTTTCCTTCCCTCTTCATTCTTTCCTTCTTTTTCTTTCTTTGCTCTCTTCCCCTCTTTCCTGGTCATGTTTTCCGTCCTAGAAATAGCTGTTTGCTACACACAAGGAGGGGATACTTTCATAAGAGCTCACAATTCAAGAATACCAATGTGCACACAAGGTATCTCAGGGTGGAGAAGGCCATGGGTGCCTAGTGATAGAACATGCCCTCAAAGCCTCCCGACCCACTAAGATACCTCATGCTTCTCCCTCCCTTCCTGCCACAATGATTCACATACCTTGCAAACATCTGTCTCCTCCCTTTGCTTCTGTTTGTTTGTCTTTGCTTTGAGAAAGGGAGAGGAGAGTTGGCTGGGAAATGCTTTTTGTGCTGAGAATGGATGCTCCTGGGTGCTATAATATAGCACAGATTCAGGTACCCATCCTCTTTTGCAAAGTCAGGGACCCAGAAACGTTCATTCTCGGCATGGAAAGTGTTTGCCGGTCTCTTACTCCTCCCTTCCCCCACAACTACTTTACACTTAACAAGACCCCACAGAGCACGCCTGCATGCAAATGGAGAGAGAGAGAGAGAGAGAGAGAGAGAGAGAGAGAGAGAGAGAGAGAGAGAGAGAGAGAGAGAGAGAGAGAGAGAGAGAGAGAGAGAATTTTGTGTGTGTGTATGGGAGAGAGAGCGATCCATACAGGGCACCTAAGCTGCTGGCAATGGCATGGGTGACAGGTGCCACCTGAGCAGTGAAGCGGAATGATGGTGGTGTACGAAGCAAGGTGCCTTGCTGGTGGAGCGCTCAGATAAGCTGGTGCAGGGAGTTGCTTCGTGCTTCCATCCCCCCCAGCCTTGCTTTGTGGCTGTCACACCAGTGCATTGCTCAGCTTCTTGCTAGGTTATGGCGGTGAGGAGAAATGGTGAAAAACGAAGTGAGGCAGGGGTTGGAGGAAGAAATCAAGGGGTTCAGAGCTCCCCCATCTACCCTGTCTAGCCTTACCTGAGGGCTCTTCAGCCAGGCAAAATCCTCTCTCCACCCAGGGCAGCCACATCCCTTCACTAACCTTTCTAGCTCCTTTCGCTGCTGCCGTATGCAGACCAACTAAAGTAGCCTGTGGGACTACAGTAAAAATAATAGTTCACATCTTCCAACTTATCACGGAAAAAAAAATCTCGCAAGATTGAAAGGTCTGAACTATTTTTCTTTATACTAGTCCCAGACTACTTTAGTTGCTGGGCACGTGGCGATGGAGAATTGGGCCTGTGTGCATGCACACCCACCGGGATGGTGTTGGCTGGGCCGAAGTAATACGGGCCAGACCCTTAACAGTTTCCAGGATGGCCATGCGGGCCCGATTTGGCATCATCGTGGGCTGGATACGGCGTACTGCTTTTGAGTTTGACACCCCTGCCCTAAAGAAAGGACTGTAGCAGGGACAGTGATTAACACATTCTAGAATCATCCAGCATGTTTTACCTTGCGTTTGCGGGTGGTCAATATTTGGAATGGAAGAATCTGTTTTGAAACAGGGTCCCAGGCCACTACCTCTGCATCCAAAATGCATGATTTCACAGTGCTGTTTTTCACCTGCACAAGAATATAATTTTAACTCAACTGAATTTCTGCATGCTGCAAGTTCTCAATCTAGTACAATTTTTTAAAGCATTCCTCCCACTGACTACTGAAATTGCTCTTGTGCCAGCAAAATCATCTCCATGTTGTTCCCTTCTGTGATATTTTTAACAATCGTACCTTGGGAACACGGCTGACAATATCAGGGTACTTTGTTGTGGTGTTCTCTTGGCTTCGGCTATAAATATGTACTTCTCCATTCTCTAGAATGTGGATCTGCATGGAAAGGAAGAGTTAATGAACTACAAATGGAAAGGAGGAGAATAGGAATTCTCTTCTTCGTTCACAACAAACATTGTTACCTGTTCCCGTTCCCCATCATATTTATATTCACAAGTGAAGGCTGCTTCTTCAAAGCGTTTTAATACCTCCCCAATTCCTTTGATTGGATGAGCCAGCATGGGCTTCAGGGGGATACCTGTTGGAGAAAATACACATAGCTTGGATTTGCAATAACTGTTAAATTCTGACTCAATGCATAGTAAAATCCAAGGGGGCAGGTGAGAGCAAATGAGCAAACATACACGGATTATATAGAAGAAATTGATTACAGTACATTGTAGAATACTTATTTTTTATTACATCCTTTTATTGACAATCTGTACTTTAAAAGGCAAATACAATCATAAGGAATAGAACCTGGTTCGTTTCTAAGATGAAAATGCATGGTTTTTGAAAACCTAAAACAAACACCCAGAACTGTATATATAAATTGCAAAGCATATAAAATTTTGGAGAGAAAGTGCTAGTTCTGTTTAAGGGATAGATTCTCAGTTTATCAAGTGCCCTACTCCCACTAAGATAGTTTAAAAATACCTGGCGTGATTTTGCAGTACTGAGGCAAGCTCTCCACACCATGTTCCAAAAGGACAGGTACTATTATGTCATAATTTGGTAGTTCGCTGAAAACAAAGAAATTAAAATGACAGAGATCTGTGACTAGATCTTGGCTAGCTAAAATATATAAATTCCCTAATCCAAAGTTTGTAGTGGCTTTTGATTGTTCAGTTCAATCAGAAGTGATTCAAGCTAATATTTCTTTAATATTTTGTAAGGCTCCATCACTTTTTTTCCCCCTGGCACTTTCCTGCCTTTTCCAAAAGTTCTAGAAAGCTCAGTGAGAGAACATAAGCTATTACAGGGGGGTAGGTATACAGTATTCCAGCTATGTCAGGCTTAAACAACTGGGTCCACACATGAAAAGTTCATGTCGATTACTTTATTATGTTCTACTTATATCAGTAAAAGAATCTCCCAGAGTGTTTGCCTTCCTTTAGGAACACAGCTAAGGCATCATGGAATTTAGGAGGGGTTATGCTTAAGTCTTTTGCGGCTGCATAAAGATACAAGGCTAGTTCTACTTTTGATCTCCCCTCTTGCCTGGCTGGGTATTTCCTAGCAAATATGCAATAAATAAAAAAAACAAAGGAAAATTTATGGGTAAGTACATATGGACTGAATTAGACTGAAAACTACTTAGGAGGGCAAATAGGAATAAGTGAGAGAAAGTGAAAGCATAAATGCTCAGGTTTCCTTTCTTATCCATTCACAAAAAGCTTCATTTACAAGTGAAAAAACAAAAAAAGATACGATTGAAGCCAGATACACTTGGTAGCATTTACTGCTGTCAGGGACTTTACCTGTTGCAATTTATGAAAACTGAGAGCTAGAGGCAATGGAAAGGCATTATGAATAATTTATTAATAGAAATAATATTCACCAGAAGGCCTGTTTAACAATCAAGACCCTTTCGTCTAGCCAGGCTTTGCGTGCATCTGCAGATTTGCCCTTTGCGGCATCCAAAACCTTTGGGGGAAATTCTAGAAGGGGAAGAATATATGCATATTAACTTACATACTAATGATTGGATTCCTTTAGCTAGGATGTGCACATATTGAGTAAAAGTACAGAATATCTCATTTGGATTGACCATTACTTCAAAGTAATGCAAAAGAGACTGGGAACTTTGTTGCTAAGTGGAGTGGTTATTACACACAAGGTCACACAACTGTGCTGACTTATGATGTCAGTTCCATTTGAAATCTTTAAATGAATCACCGCAGGTCATTAAGCATGTTACATGACTATGACTTGCTGCCTATTTCCTGACTTTGCTTGTCAGAAGCTAGCTGTGAAAGTTACAAACAGCAATTACATGACTGAAGGATGCTGCAACAGCTGTAACCTTGATGACCAATCATGAATCTTTCTTTACAGCACTGTCATAAATTCAAATGGTCAGTGAATGAGTGGTTGGTAAGTGAGGACTACTTGTATATTAAATGCCATGTACTTTTAGAAAAAAAAAGTACTATTTGAATTTTTAAAGTCTGAATATGCTGTCCATGCCCCTAAAATCATGTTGCAAATATGACTACATTTATTTGTTAATGATTAATTGTATTTTTTGTTCTCTGACTCAAATCTTTAAATTCTGAATTATTTAGCAATAATAAAAATAGCTGATGTCTTCTAATTAATTCTGACTTAATACAGAATACAAACGTCCTGTCCTATGAATGATCCCAACTTCCTAGATGGTTCTATATATATTGAATTCTTTTGCACTAGAATGCTAATCAGGTATTCCCATGTATTGGGCAGAACTCCATACATTTCCCTTCAGCCAGGATTAGTGCTATTTCATGTTTGCAAAGCAAACTCACTTTGTCCTGCGGGAGTGAGTGATGCTGCCTGGGCAAGAGCTGAGAGGACAGACTGCTCTGCTAATCCAATCCGTAACTTTCCTTGTAGTGACCTGCAATGCACAAAGAACTTTATTACAATACTGAAGAGGTTATGTTAATGGCTGAAGGAGAATTATATATATGCACAGCTTTGTGTTTATTGGAATTAAGGACACTGAGAAATAGAATGCTGAGAGTTTGCCACAAACCAGTAAGTAAAATAGAAGAAATAACTATTGTAATAGTGTTTAGGAAATCACTGGAGATAATGCAAACTAAACATCAAGCACATCATTTTAGCAATATAATGTGGATATATTGAAGTGCCACAAGGAGAACAATTGTGCTACAAGTCTAATTGCACTTACCGAGCCACATAACGAGCCTCTGAATGGCGACATGCAACAAACAAAGATTTGATAATGTCAATTTTCTTGTTCATAGACTGAGGAAAAAAGAAATAGAAATAGGTGTTGAGATGCATAGGGGTGGAAGAAAAGGAAGAAGGATAACTAGGCATGGTAATTTTAGAAAATTTCATTCTATATAATGATAGCAACCTCACAAAAAGGCTCTTCCTATACATACATGAGACAGGACACTTCAGAAAATTGTTTTACCACTATCCAACTTTATTGACAAATAGACATAAGAGTTAAAAATAAATTTCTCTGGATGATGCTTTCAGAAACTCTATTTTCTTCCACGCCAGTGTTCTATTAGACTGTTCTTTCAGAAGTGATAACATCAAATATTTGTGCGACATAAATATTAAAGTTAATATCATATGTTACATTTAACCAACTGAATCCTTGCCATATCCAATGTTCCCTCTAAGGTGCGGGGCTGTGCATGTGACAAGAAAACACCGTGCAGCACAGTGATTTTTAATGTCACAGGCTATGGAAGCTGAGGGATCTCAGATTTTCTGTCCTGGTTAGGGTTAGCATAGGCGTGGGGGTGGGGGGGGGGCGGTGGCAGGAGCTTACGCGGCACGGCCGGTCACCTAGGACCTCCTAGGTGCCGGCTGCGCCGCTCAACCATCAGTCCCCCCCTGTTTAGCAAAGCAAGCATGGGGAAGTCCTTTGCAGGCGGCTAAAACTGGCCGCCCACAAAGGACCTCCCCAGACTTGTTTTGATGAGCACGGGGCAACTGACGGTAGTTTGCGCTGGCTGCGCTCTCTCAAACTACCATCAGTTGCCCCATGTTCAGCAAAGCATGCCTTTTTTCCCCCTGAGGGGCGGGAGCTGGACGGCAGGTTTGGACCGACCGTGGGAGGGGAAAAGGGTGCCGGAGTGCTGTCATAGGTGAGGTGGTGAGGAGGAACCTGATGGCAGTGCCATCACGGGGGCCAGTAGAAAGGCAGCGAAGGGGGCGGAGCAGGGAGAAAAAGACCTCACGGCTTCTCAAAAGCATGGCGGAGGAACAGGTGGCAGCAGGGGTAACGCGGTGCCCAGCTCAGGTGCTCTGAGCAGAGGGGAAGGCGCCGCCGCTGCCATCGGCGGGAGCGTCAGCGGGAGCTTTGGCAGCTTCACCTCAGCTGCAGCGCCGGCCGACAAATGCGGTGGTGCTATTGGAGGAGGAGGTGGCAGCAGCAGTTATTCTGGTGGCGGCAGGGGCTCGTTGGCATCTTCAGAGGCAGCCCTGCCCCTGGTGAAAAAAACGAAGATGGAGCAGATCCAGGCTGATGATGTCGTCGCAGCTGCCAGGTCCGGACGGAGGTAGCCAGAGTGGAGCCGAGGCAAAAGAGCAACATGACTGGAGGAGGAATTCTGGGGGTTGAAGTCCACAAGTCTTAAAGCTGTCAGGTTTGAAGGGTTTTCTAAAGGATTAGGGGTGCAAGGATCTTGTAACTTGACAGCTTTAAGACTTGTGTGCTTCAAATGCCAGTTTCTGAGCCAAAATTTTGGTTGCTAAGCAGGAGCGTTGTTAAGTGATACTGTTATTATTTAACACTTTTAATTAAGCGGGTACCTTGAATAAACATAACTTTGAGTTTCAAATAATACTGATTTCATTGTTGTCTTAAGTGACATCTGTGAAAAAAATTCAGGTGCTCGGGCATGAAAATGTGCTGCTCAAACACTATACTTTCCTGCTCACACTGAAAAAAAATAGAGGGAACATTGGCCACATCCCCTAATAAACACAGCAGTCTGTGTTCTTAACAAAATTGTTAATATCTTCTCATTCATTACTTACAGAGCTTCCCACCATCTGACCAATTGCTCGCAATTTGCCAAAGACAGCAGCAGCACCAAGTTTGAGTGGAGCAATGACAGTTCCTTGTGTTGTGCGACTGTTTTCAGCAACTACACCTAGATCTCCCTTCTCTGCTGCCTCTGCCTTGATTTGGTCCAGTTGCCGACCTAGAGAGAAGACAAGATCCTATAGTCAAGATTTTTTTTTTTAAAAAAAAATACTGTCACTAATTTATTAATTCTATAATCCATCTTTTCAGATTATGTTCTACTTTATAACAAGAGCATACTAATGTTTGTTTTATTGGCAGCTATTGCCTAATATTACTTCTCCAAGGAAGATTATAATTAGATAGACTCACCTGTGGCCTGGGCCAGAGCTCTCATGAGGATGGTTTTGCCAATGCCTAATTCTAGGCCCTCATATGCTGGGCCTAACTGATTGAGACAGAGGTAGACACAGGGGAGCAAGTCTTGTGGAGATAGGACAATCGCGGAACGAAAGAGGTTGCTTAAGGTCTCTATAATTTTCAACCTAGAAAGAGAAATGATGTATGATTTTTGAGGACAAGACTAAATGCTACAAATATCCTTACTTATTCTGTAATTTGTAACAAGTCATCTTACCGGGCAGATTCTTTCTCAATATATTCAAAAGTACGAGCCACAGCCAGGTATGGCATCCTGTCAAAAGAATTAGTATAACAGCAATATCTATGAAACTAAAACGCAACATCCAGAAGTAATAGAACAAAGTGAACTTTCTTCTCTTTGCATAAATTTATATCCCCTGAATTTGCTAAAAAAACCCCAAAAAACAGCAATCAGTGAAAAAGAATGCTAAAGTCTTAAAAAGGACTTCCTCTCTCTCAAAAATCAATACTAAATTCCATCTATTTTATTCAATTGGACTTGCATATTGTGATAAGCTATGATTTTTTAAAATATTTTAACTGTTAAATAAGGTATCATTGGGTAGGCTCACACATATCATGCTAAGCCATAACAATTAATAATGCAGATCAAAATAACAAACTAGTGTTTTAGAAAAAATAGTAGCTCGATTATAATAGCTTGACTCTAAACAAAAGACAGTTTATATTAAAGAAGTGTTAGATGGTAACTATGATTGGAAGAAGAGACATACTCTTCACAGGTCTTAAATACCAATTCTTGGTTTAGGACATGAGATAATTAATACAGTAATTTAACATGATTCTATAATGAAGCTCATTATGAGACTGACTGACATGAAAACAGATAAGGAAATATCCACTGGTGCTTGAATAGTAAGAGATACATTTTTAAAAGAAGCAATGTTTTGTAGCATAAAATGTAATCTCAGTGGCACTTACTTTTGGCCAGGGACCCAGCAAGCATCAAGAACAGGATGATAACCACTCTTTGTAGGGTTGTACTCTGCAAGCTCAAATGTAAGAGATGGCTTGAGAAAACTGTAAAAGCAACAGGATGGGGGTGAGGTGGGGGAATACATGGTATGTAGTTATCCTACACCAAATGACTAACTAATTTCTTAAGATTTGGGAGCCACGGTAGCACAGTGGTTAGAATGCAATATTGCAGGCTAACTCTGCTCGTTGCCAGGAGTTTGATCCTGATCGGCTGAAGATTGACTCAGTCTTCCATCCTTCTGAGGTCGGTAAAATTAGGTTCCAGATTGTTGGGGGTAATATACTGACATATTGCTCAGAGTATGCTGTAAAGCACTAGGAGCAGTATATAAGTCTAAGTACTACTAATATTTCTAAATCTATCATCAGATTATGCAAAAGTATCCAAGCCTTTTTGTAACAAATCATACACTGGGAAAAGGTGTCATGCGAAAGAAATAACTTCTGCATAAATTTTCATACTTTCTTGAGGCCTGGAGAATTATTGCAACTTTTTACAAATTGGTATTAAAACTAATCCAAGTAGTTTCCAAATTCAATGCATTTTAGAAAATCAGATCAATAAACCTGCTAACCTTACCACTGACATGAAAAGATGACTATAACAAGACATCCTCACATCAGTAAAATCAGGCAGAAAAAAAATGTTTTAACTACGCATAAAAATCATGTATACCACCTTTTCTCTACTTGTCATCAAGAACTGTAGACAACATAGTAAAAAATAACATTGGAAAATTTAGAAAGGAAACTTCGGAGAACTGAGCTGCGTTTTTAATTTTTTTTCTTTGCATAATATAAAATAATCTGTAAAGGCCTGATGGTGGGCCTCAAGCAGAAGAAAATCTATGCATTCTTATTTTGCAGAAAGTTACTCAATTCAGTTCTAGTCTTATTTTCATTTTATCATCTTCTACACTAGAAATTGAAAGTCTACAATATAAAGTCTCTTTATTTGACTATTTAGATACAAATGTTTCTCCACTATAGACACTCCTTCTAAACATGGAGGATGTCAACTGAAGGCAAGGCTAGTGTGTTTCTGTCATTTTGCACCATTCAATATTCAAAAGCATTTGCATATATTATGGTTCCACCACAAAACCGCAGTAGACAAAAGCGCGGTCGACGAAAGCGCGTATGTGACATCATCACAGCGCGACGAAA